GAGATCGATGGAACAGAGAGGTCAGAAGCGACAAAATGAAATTTTTTGAGCCCACAAATAACAATCTTTAAAGATATAATTCTATCTCCAATTCTATTTATTTTTATAACATTATCTTTCAAATTCTTATCTATAATCACACCTATACCATTTCTTGTACGAATTCTACCTGAATATCATAGTTTATATCCTAAACTATTAATCTCCTTAGCTTTCTCTTTAACCCATTTAGTTTCTTAAATGCACAGAATATTTATCTTCTTATGAATCATAATATCTATTAATTCTATTAATTTTCTTATAAGGGAGCATATGTTCCAAGTTTATATCATAATTTTAGTTTTATAGACCCACATCTATCCTCGATGTGGAAACCCTTGCCTATTTAACACTACACCCGGGCAAGATTTTGGCGTATGACATTAGAAAATTAAGGAGCAAATAGATTCTGATGGTCAAAGTGCAATGGAAGTATATGATCGCTAGAAAGGATACTTGGGAGAAGGAATATGGGAAGAGACAACTCTATCAATGTTTATTCTAACATATTTTGATTTGGGAATGTTGAGGATGATATGTTTTTAAGGTGGATGGATTGTTATAACTCAATTTTTTGAAAACTACATTTTAACCTACAAAAATCAATAATTTATTCAAGAGTCATTATAAGTTCAAATCATAAATCATCTTCTCCATAACATATCTATTGTTGTGTTTAGTTTTTTTCAATTTTTCATAATTTTTTCTACTAGTTAAATTCCTTAAGAAATTAGCACATAATAGTTTTGGGTACAAGTGAGAGTTTTGGGAGCATAAGGTGTCTATTTTGCAAACTAATTTCACTAGAATTTTCTAAATAAAATAATTGATTTTTTGGAGATTTTTCTTTACTTTTTTGGAATCCTTAAAAAAAATTCTATTATTTTTATATTTTAAAAATGATTATACAATTATAATTTTATTATTTTATTATTAAAATATGTAAAAGCATAGATTATTTAAATGGATTTAAATCCTTTGTTTTCATTTCATTCCCATAATAGAGAAAGAATTTAGGGGAAATGAGAAGAAAGAGAGGAGATAGAAAGAAAGAAGCTAGGTCTTGGCAACTGTAGAGTGATTTCGTCCATTAGCCCAGTTGGGAAATTTGTTAGTCTCGATGTTGGTTATATTTATCCTATTTCATATTTCAATAATTTTATATTTTTGGGTTTTTTTATCAAATTTATAATTCTGTAACAAAAAAATGAGAATAACTTTCTTTTGACAAAACTTTCACCACATAATTTTTTATATGTTATAGATACTGTGATTACAAAAATTTGGAGTATAGTCTGAAAATTTTTTACATGGTGATTTTGAAAAAGCAGTGACTTTTTGAGTATTCAAAAAATTATTTTGACATCTTAAAATAGTATTTCAATGTAATTAAAGCTTCAAAATGATATTTTACACAATTTATGGTAATTTGATTATGTTTGAAAATTATGAATTTTACTTAGTAGTATTTATGTTGTCTACCGTTGGAACATTTTGGCAATTTTGAATTTAGTCTAATTATGCTTTAATTAATGAAATGCATTGAAAAATATGTTATAAAGTGTTATGATGTGATGCCGGCGTCAGTGGGCGACCAAGGTGGGATTCTGTTGCACCATCGCCAATGGATGGCTGAGGTGGGATTCTATTATGTCGACGCTTGTGGGTGATCAAAGTGGGATTCTATTATGTTGGTGCTAGTGAGCAGCTGAGGTGGGATTATGTTATGCTAGTGAGAGTCTATTACCTAAGTGTTGTTATGCTGGAACCAATGGGATACCGAGAAGAGATTCTATTATAAAGTGATTTCTTATAATTCAATTCATCTTAGTATATTTAATTATATTTAATTTAAGTATAAGATTCAATAAAGTGATATCAATTCTTTTAGTTTTGAATATTGATCTTTGTTTTATGCTAAGATAGCTTACTAATATGTGTTAGCTCATTCCTATTCTTGCTTTTATTTTTATACTCGGGGAAGGGTAATGAGCTAGCTGAGTAGTTAGGATAGCAGACTCTGATCTTTGTTGTAGGTATGTTTAGTTAGTTTTAATTTTTGTAGGCTTGGCTTTTATTTTTATTGTGCTCTTTGTTATCAAGCACTATTATTGAAATATTTCATATTATACTTGTTTTGGATGATATATAAAAAAATAATGTTGAGATTCAGTAGTCTTCCACCTTATATTGCATTCAATAGTGCTTTTGTATAGTATATAAATTAGAAGTTTTGTTTCAATACTTCTCCAACTAGATCTTAGGGTCCGTCTTGACACAATCGAATACGACATGACATGTACATTATCAAGTCATATCGGGTATGGTTGTGATAATATATCTATAATTCTTCTCTTGCTGAACCATAAAGTGGGCCATCCTTATCTTCATTTCAAATTGCTAATCCTTAGTTTCCTCTCAAAAATTTAAGATACCCTCCATTTGAGTTCTAAGATATGCCACCTGCTCACCTACAATATTAGTGGTCCCAAGACTTTCTACTACTGCTAGCCCTTCCTAAAGATCTAGGTTCACTAAGCCCTCCCTCTTTATCACCTACTGCTACTTGCTTAAAACTTAGGATTTTCTTTAACCAAAGTAGAGATGGGAAAAATTGTTTCCTATACTCATTTCTCCTAACACCAGCATTAACATATAAAGCATAAGTAAGGGAAAAGCATCGTAAACCTATAAAAGTAGTGCCCCTAATGATGTAAGTTAAGGATGAATAAATTAATTTTCCTACATCAATAGAGTACCCAACCTAAATGGCATAGTTTAGATAACGCTCTCTCGGGTGGCTTCATTAATATTGTTGGGTAAAAGACAGGAAGAAATAAAATAGTGCCAATCTTTAGATGCTTAAGTATGAAAAGTGGCTAGGAAGTTAATAAATTTATTTTTCCTTTTCTTCCAAGTGGCTCCACTATTAGGACCACACAAAGCCCTTAAAATTTATTAGGGTCAATTGAAGTCCCAAAAAAGACAATATACTCATCATACTCAAAATCCTTCAACTTATAAAGGTAGTTAATGGCAATAGTTAAAGGTCGCCCACTTATCTCTCATATAACACTTAATATTTACAACCTCCTTCACATTTGCAAAATCCTCCCACACAATATTCATAATTGTAGCATAAGGTTCCTCACAGAAGTGCTCCCAACCCCGACTCACTATAGTTTGCATGATATGAAGACTGAGGCTTTAAAAATCATACGCAGGGATAAGTTGTTTAGTCACTACAAACTCTTTAATTCTTTCGTCAGCTTTGGCAAAAATGAACTTAAGCTTATCAAAAGATGAGGAGGATCTCTTATTGCGATTCATTTTGGAGGCCATTGCACAAAAAGGAATGAGGCTAAGAACACTTAAGAGCAAGAGAGTTTAAAAGAGAATGGTGAAATGAGCAAGGAACCAAGGATTTTATTTATAAACACGATGAGCATTGTGGGGATCAGCATTGTGGCGCTTAAAACACATAAAAAGACAAATGGGTTAAACAAATAGTAGCTGGTGCATGTGGCACAACTATGCTTGGTTTTGGAAACCGAAGTGTCACTTTAAGCATGGGAATCCACTATGGCATTAACACTTATGAGCGATGCGACATTTGAAAAGACTAACACCATTGCTCCATAACTACAACAATAATGATTTTGACCTAATACTGGGGAGCTGGAAACAATGCGGCGATGCTCACCAAAGTGTCATAATGAAAAGGTTATGATCATATGGTTAGCTTTTAACCAATAGAATTACCATTTGACTTTTTAGACCTGACGCTACAACCCTTGAAGGCATAACACTACGGTATTGTATGGGTAACTGACCGCTGTGATGCTCAAGTAGATTATATTGTAGCGGTTCAAATCAGTATTTTTCTCAAGAACTTAGCGCTATAGTGTCAGTTTTGAATGTCGCAGTGCTCATCATGTGAACATTGTGGCGCTTCATTCTCTAGTGTTGCGGGCTAGTTTAGAATTCAACACCTCAATTTTTTTAGGATTTAAATCACAACTTTGATCAAAATCAAATATAAAAATAAAAATAATGCAAAACATTTAAACAATAAAATATGAAACATAAAACATTAAAATTATAACAAATTAACACAAAGATGGGTTGTCTCTCAAACAGATAGTCTTCAACCAAATTTGGCTAGATTTATCAATTTGGCTGGGATACATCGTTACAACTCCCAAGTGGTTTTCATTGGATTATTTTCCTTTATCTCTAGGGTTAATTTCATTATTACTAGGTCTACTATTGAAAGAAAATGCAAGTTATTTAAATTAAGTTTACAAAATTCTAATTGAAGCAATTTGACTTTATAATTTAACTCCCAATTGAATCACCGCCTCTTATAAAGCTAACTTTCTATTCACATATTGATTGTTTTAATTAAATCATAGAGTATAAGAAGGTCTAGGATTCACAATAGGATGCTGACGATTATTCCAATTTTCTCCGTGGTTACATTGTCTTGAATTTCATTGATTATTTTCACTAATATTATTTGTCCAACTGAAATTAGGGTGATTCCTCCAACCTAGATTATATTTATTAGCATAAGAATTATTTTATCTTTCGATCATATTTACATTTTCAATCTCTAAATTATTAGTATCCATAATTGAATTCAAATGATTATCTTCCAATTATATATATGAGTTAGATCTTGAGTTAACTCCAATTGTATCTTTTTTTTTTTTTTTTTGAAAAAGCAGCTACTTGAGCAATAATAATCAATAGAGCATCAGATTCATAAACTCCAACTACTCAATTAAGATTCAATCTATTAATGTGCTACTAAAATTTTTAGTAGTCATTTCCTCAATCAATTCATAAGCATCCTTAAATAGCTTAGACATTAATGATACTTCAACTGTAGATCTATAATTGACCTAAGAGATCCTACCAATTCTTTATAAAAGATTTGAATAGCCAACCAATCAGATAAAGTATGATGAGGGCATTTTTAAGCATCTCCTTAAATCTCTCCAAACTATCATAAATATATTCTCCTTTAAATTGGACAAAATGTGATATCAGTTCTAAATTTAACAATTTTTTAAGGTGGGAAATTCTTTACAAGGAATTTATGAGATAACTCATTTCAAGTAAGAATTTAATCACATTTTAGCCTCGTCCCTTAGAAAAAATGAGAACAATCGAATTTTAGTGGCATCGTTATTGATATTATTAAACTTAAAAGTTGCTTACATTTTTAGGAAATTGACTAAATGTAAGTTAGAATCTTCAACAGGTGTTCCTCCAAACTGAGAATTTTATACCATTTGGATAATAGTCGGTTCAATTCAAAATTATTAGCCTGGATAGTATGTCTATTGATACTCTGATGAATTCCTTATACTACAGAATTAACATAATCCCTAAGTGGTTGAGCATGATCTTGATCTTGGATTAGATCAAACATGGTTAAACATTTTTTGGATTTTTAAATTTTTGAAATTATTCTTTCTATTTTTGGATTAAATAATGAAGGCTCCTTTTTTGGATCTATCAAGCATATAATAAGATACAAAAATAAAAATAGAAACCAAGCAATCAAACAAAAATTATTTTTTATTTTTATTTGAATTTTTTTAAACAAATATAATAAAGATAAAGGATACAAGTAGTCCTAAATATGCACTTGTTTCAATAATATAATAAATTGCAATAAGCACATTACTTCACCGGTAATGGTGTAAAAAAATTTATAGGGATGTAAGATGTGATAAGATAATGGAAGCTAATATAAAATTCGTTGGATTTAAAATATGCTTAGGTTTTACTTGATATAAAATTTAAAAAATAACCCACTAATTTATGCAAGTATATGTGTCGAATCAAGTAATAAAATAATAAAATAAAATGTCGAACTCACGAGGAGGTGATCTACTATACTATAACAAAACTATAACTGTTTACTTCAAATGCACGAACTTATCCCAGTAAAATAAAAATGAGATTTTTGAATTCTTACCACTGAATGAAAATAAATAATAAAGTTGATACAATTTTGATAAAATATTTTGGACTAATGTTTGTAAATAATATACGTTTCCTAAATAAAAAATAATAAACATATGTTTCATAATGAGACTTTTATTTATAAATGTGGATCATAACATATGCATCCCTATATCTTTGTCAATTATGTAGAAGTGAAAATAAAGATTATTAGCCATCCTGTTGTTTTATTGTCTGTATAAAACTTAGAATATTAAAGCTTCTTATATCTAGGCATGTCAATATTCCATTTAATATTCATAATTATTCATGCATTACCACGTCAAGGCTATATATCATACTAAATTTTAACTACAGATGATCATTTTATATATTAAATTAAGAACATGAGATACTAAAAATATAATTATTTTCATTAAAAAATAAGTTTACATTAGTACTTAATATGCTCTTTATATCATCAGCTCAAAATGGAAGATCTAGCCAGACATGGAATAAATAAGAAGTAAACTCATATTATTTTTATTCATAGAAGATCAAAGTATAAGAGAAGTAAGAAGTTTATCACCCTGATGAATTTAAGTATCTTTCTAAAGATTGTATCTTCCACTTTCCTATCATCCTTTAAACTTTACGCTAAGGGTCACTTTCTATCCTCCTTTAAACTTTACTGCAGCGGTGATCGGACAGTTCCTCGTCACCAAAAAAAAAGATATTCATCAAAATTATTGCTGACAGTATTTCACTTATTAAATGTCTTGATCATGCAAAATTATTCAATTTTTATTTACCTACCAACTCTACATAAATGCAATTGTAAACAAAATTTTACTAAAAACCCATAAAACATTCAGACAAATGATCAGCTGCTGCGACTTTTTCCAGGTTTCCAAACATCAAAATTCGTATGAAGATCTCTGTTCACCAACGGATATTATTCCTGTGAATAAATAAATACTCAATTCCTACGTAGAAGAAGAAGCAGCAGCTCCCCATCCACCACCACCAGGAGTTAAAATCTGAAGAATCTCACCAGCCTCCACCTCGACTGTGTTCTTGCCTCCCAGATATGCCTTTCTCTTATCCTTTCTAATAAGATAATTAGCCCCACGAGAACCATTCTCCCCACCCTTCAAACCTCTCGGAGCAATTACTCTCCTTTCGCTAAGTATACTTACTACCACTGGGCGCCGGAACTCTATCTCCCTCACAAGTCCATCACCCCCTCTGTGATACCCAGCTCCGCCGCTGTTCTCTCGAAGGCCGAATCTACGCAACAAAACCGGATATCTTTGCTCGAAAATCTCGGGATCGGTCATTCTGGTGTTAGTCATGTGGCATTGAACTCCACTGGTTCCCTTCCAAGTAGGTCCAGCACCACTACCTCCTCCAATTGTCTCATAATATCCAAAATTGTTATCTCCAAATGTTAGATTGTTCATACAACCTTGTGAACAAGCACAGGCCTGGAATGCTGTAAGGATAACATCGGTCACCCTCTGTGAAGTGAGTACATTGCCGCCAACAACTGCGGCTTTCTCACTTGGAGAAAGGAAAGAGCCGTCTGGAATGAAAATTTTTACAGGGGCCAAGCATCCCTGATTCAGAGGGATATCGACATCTAACAAGCAGCGGAGACAGTAGATTACGGCTGCAGCCGTTACTGCTTGTGGGGCATTCCAATTACCATAGACTTCAGGGCTGGTTCCCTTGAAATCGAAGGTTGCTTCGCCAGTTTTTGCGTCGATGCAGAGCCTCAAGTGGATGACCGAGCCATCATCCATATAGTCCTCTTCCTCGATGATGCACGAGCGGTTTTCCTGTTCCACTCGAGCGGCCACTGACTTGAGCATTTCCCTAACGGCATCTTCAGCATTTCGTTGTACATGAATCATGTAAGCCTGTACGGTTTCTGATCCATACTGCTCAATGAGTTCTTTAATCAGGGTTATCCCCCTCTGGTTTGCAGCCACCTGCGCTCTAAGATCAGATAGGTTATCCTGAATCCTGCGAGTTCCTGGAATCTTGTAAGCTGAATTTTCATCAGAGTTTGGAGATTGAAGCAGTTTGACGATTCTCTCTTCTTGGAAGACTCCTCGCTCAACAAGTTTCAATGCCTTGATGGCGGCTCCTTCTTCCCAAATAGCTTTAGAGAAAGGGGGCATACTCCCAGGAGTAATGCCACCAATCTCTGCATGGTGGCCTCTGCTTGCCACAAAAAAGACTAGTTTGCTATTATCAAAAACAGGAGTAATAACAGTTATATCAGGTAGATGGCTTCCACCAGCACATGGATGATTAGTTAATAAAACATCCCCTTCATGAAGATTTTCACCCCAGTACTCGATTTGCCAACGAACAGTAGTAGACATGGCGCCTAGATGCACGGGTACATGAGGGGCATTTGCAACTAGTCCTCCATCAGGACTGAACAAAGCACAAGAGAAGTCGAGCCTCTCCTTGATATTTGTAGAAATGGAAGTTCTTTGGAGAGTCCGACCCATTTGTTCGGCAATGCCCATGAACCTATGATTGAAGATAGAGAGCTGCACCACATCCGCAATTTGTTCGGTTATATTGATGGTGTATGGGGCCGAATAAATCTCGATTTTTATGTTTCCATATTTGGTTATTAAAGCCTTGCATTTAGGTTCTACAATCACGGTACTATTTCCGTTCATGATAATTGCAGGGCCTTCCAAAATGTGTCCATATCCCAACTTCTCCAGCTTGAACAATGGAGTCTGTTGCCACCCAGTTCCAAAATAGATCATGTATTGACTCTCATTTACTGGGTTTTCCAAAACTGGCTCAAGCTCGTGAGACCTCAGAATATTTGTAACTCCAATACCTCGAACTCTTACATCAGAGATAAGAATCTTTCTGTTCTGAAGTTTAAATCCATACTCTTGCTGGAAGAGCTTCACAAACTCAGCAGCGAAGTCATTTGCTTCCCCTTCAACATGCCTCTTCACCATGATGGAAGTATCAGTGCCATCATATCTTAAGTTCAGATATGACTCGGTTGTGATGTTTTCTTCATTAAATCCTTGTTCTCTTAGCTTCTGTTTTACTTTATCTTTTAGATGCAATTCTCTTCGGGATGCTTCAATCACCGAATCTGGAGTATAAACTGAAGAGTAGGGCTCCAGTGCTTCTTCAACAACATCAGCCAAGCCCATTCCATATGCACTCAATATGCCACAGTATCTGTGGATCAGTACTTCAGACATACCCAAGGACCTAGCAATAGCACATGCATGCTGAGGACCTGCACCTCCAAAGCAAGCAAGAGCATGGTTTCTGGTCTCGTGTCCCTTCATTTCTGTTAATTGCCGGATAGGACGACACATAGTCTCATTTGCAACATTAACAAAACCAAGAGCAATCTCTTCCACAGTCATATCCTTAGCAGATGGGTCCTGTCTTTTTTTATAAGAATTTATCTCAACGGACAATTTTTCAAATGCTTTTCGGGTAGCTTCAACATCTAAAGGCTGGTTTTCATCTGGACCAAATATAGAGGGGAAAAAATCTGGAATAACAGTTCCTAGTATCAAATTAGCATCAGTAATTGCCAACTCTCCACCCTTCCTGTAGCAGACTGGACCAGGATGAGCCCCAACAGATTCAGGTCCTACCCGAAAAGATCCGAATTGAAACTTGAGCTTTGAACCACCACCAGCAGCAACAGTGTTTATATCGAGCTGTGGTGCTTGAATTATGGCTCCAGCAATTTGAGTCTCTAGAACCTGCTCATAGCTTCCATCGTAGCGGCTAACATCTGTAGATGTGCCACCCATATCAAACCCAATCAAAGGTTTCGATGATTCAAGACCGAACAGGGTTTGTGAATAGCCAACAACTCCTCCTGCAGGCCCTGAAAGAACAGCTTTATGCCCAGAAAATCTATGCTCTGGCGCCAGACCACCATCTGATTGCATAAATAACACATTCACCTTTTCTGCACCCCCCTCAAATCTAGACATGAAGCCAGTTAAGTATTCTTTGATGACTGGTGTTAGGTAGGCATCAACACTAGCTGTCAGACCTCGAGGCACCGCACGGATCATTGGAGTCAAAGAAGAAGATAGAGAAACATGCCTAAAACCCATGCTCAAAGCTAACTTCTCAATCATGATTTCATGCTGAGGGTAAGTGTATGAATGAAGCAAGACAACAGCCAAACATGTAATTCCTTTGGAAAGCAAACCCTTCAAGAGAGGTTTAAGAGCTTCAATGTCAAGTGATTTTGACACCCTGATAAGCTCCCCTGAAACACCTTCAACCACCAAAGGAGAGGATTTCATTTCCTGTTCGAGAATAAGTTCTATCCTCTCATCTGCCTCTATTACCTCCTCATAAAGATTCGAGGGCTTTGAGACTTTAAGATCAAATATATTTGGACGTGCTTGATTTCCAATTTGAAGCAAGTCTTTGAAACCCTGAGTCACACAAAGGGCAATCCTTTCACCTTTCCGTTCAAGAAGAGCATTCGTAGCAACAGTAGTGCCCATACGGATCCATTCAATTTTGTCAGTTGGAATCTTGGAAGACCGTGGGATTTTATTACCAGTGCGCTCTTCAAGGATTCTCCTAATTCCTTCAATAGGAGCATCATCATAGTTTGCTGGATCAACTGAAAGAAGTTTCATTACACAACACTCTAATCGACCTGGAACTTCTGCATAGATGTCTGTGAAAGTTCCACCTCTATCAATGCAAAACTTGAATTTCCCCTCCCGATTACTTCCCATTTCAAGCTTCTCAGTTTAGGTATCTCAACAGTATTGCTGCAAAGCAAAATCAGTAAGGATTTCATCATAAAAATCAATGAAGCATCACCCTCCATAGTTGCTTTATTAGGAAGAAAAAAAATGAAAAAAAAAACTAGCTTTATTTTCTAGAAAAATATTTCTTTGATAACAAAAAATTATGGAATAAAACTATATTGTCATAATGAATCACAAAAATTACCAAATACAAGCACAATTAATTAACTGTTTGACATATATCCTACAACAAAATATTATATAATCAATGCTGTATGAATATTCATAATTTTATAAAAAAAGCTATTTATTCTCTAATTGAATAAAGCAATAAGTCTAGAACTTCTAACTAATAAATAAAACAAAGAAACGGGCAAGTTAAAAACAAAAACAAAATATTTAGCCAAATTTATAAATCCTTAAAGATATCATTAACACCTAGCATACCCTTCTGCTACGGGACAAAAACCCGGTTCAAAGACAACAGAAAAGTTGTTTGTTCTTTAACACCAATGCCATTTCAGAAATATACTGAATTTCTTGGCCTACCAGCGATTAATGGCTTTCAGCCAGAACAAAAAAGATCATAGCAACACATTAGGATTCTATAGTATTCTAGCCACATAAAACAAATTTCTAACATAAAAGATCAATAATAAATAAATATAGAAAATCACAAAGGTTCATCACAAGTTTCAACTACTAGCTTCAAATCCCAGTCAAAAAAATTGACTTGGTCAAGTTCAGGTCACTGGTTCAACCACCAAGTCATTGAGATATTTCTGATTATATAAATAACAACATCTGAACAAAGTAAAATTTTTAAACTTTTGAATGCCAGCATGAGAGTATTCAAGGGATGACATTTTCTCAAGAGAAAATGAATGCATGGTGAACTTTAAGACATCCAATCAGAGTTCCACACTAAAATCAAGTAATTTAAAATGTTTTAATGTTGTCGTCAGTATTCAGCTATCGTGCTGTAATATTGAAAGCAAGCTTTTATTCTTTCTATCCAAAAAATATAATTGGAGAATTTCCACTTCCTCTGATCTCTATTAATTCTCACTCCCTCTGAAATAATAAATGCAAGGTAAAACAAGGAGAGCAACAGATTGACCAAAGAAATCAAAGTGAAGCAGTAAAAGATAAAATGAAAAATAGAGCTTCATCCACCGAAGGGTACTTCTCCAATTTAATCATCTAACTTTAATTGGAAAAAAAATCCTTTAATTGTGCAAATCTTCTATATCCCAACTACGTCATACCACAGAATCAAGATATATAAATTAATCACAACTAAATACTCGAACATTAACAATTCATAGTAATTAATGTCTCAACAACAACAACAACAACAAGCCTTTATCCCACTACGTGGAGTCGCCTACATAAATCCTATTTCTCCATTGTGTCCAGTTAATGGTCAAATTCTCATATCCAAGCTTCTCTTGGAAAAGCTATAAAAAAAGATCAAATTCTCATCTAAATCTAATAAATAAAGGTCATTTATAATATTTTCTAATCAAGTCTTTTTAGATCTATTTCTATCTTTCTTAATATAAGTCAAATCTAATACATCTACTTTCCTAATCGGGTCATCGGAAGTCTGCCTTTTTATGTGACCAAACCATCTAATGTGACTCTCTCTATCTTATCTTCAACTGGAGCTACTCCAACCTTTTCACGGATATGCTCATATCGTATCCGGTCTCTAAGAGTAAATCCCATCCTCATCTTTACAAGACTTAATTTAATATTATGCTTCTCTTTAAATTGCCAACATTCTACACCATAAAGCATTGCAGGTCTTACTACCATCTTATAGAATTTTCCCTTAAGTTTGAGAGGGGCTTTTCTATCACATAACAAGCCTGATGTATTCCTCCACTTCAACCATCAAATTTGACTTCTACTAATAATATTTCTATCTATTTCACCATCACTATGAACAATAGACCCAAGAAATCTAAAATGTCTCATTCATAAAAATTTTAATTGATATACATGATTCTTGTTATACTAATTCTAAACCTCTCATCATCTAACATATTCTTCAGTTATCTAAAATTTTGTTTTTAGCATAGACAGCTTTACCTGTGAAGCCTATATCATTTACATGAGTACTTGCCATAAAAAAAACATCATGACTAAAAGGAAATAGATATTTACTTGAAGTTGATCATTTATATAATCTTACTATGATTGAGGAATTATACTCCTGTTACTATAATTGGTTGTTGCATAATTATAAATGCCATCACAAATTTCAACAAAAATTTTAAATGTATGTCTTCTCCTCATAAAAGTTTTTTTTTTTTTTTTGCATATTAGTAAAAATGAAGTTGGAGAGGCTGTAAAGAAAATGAAGTGTGCAAAAGCTATTGGACAAGATGATATTCTAATAGATGTGTGAAAATGCTTAGTAGATGAAGGAATTTCTTGGTTTACTAAACTTTTTAATATTATTTTGAAGACTAAAAAGATGCCAGATGAGTGAAGAATGAGTGTGCTGATTCTTATTTTTAAGAATAAATGTGATGCATAAGATTGTGCGAATTATAGAGGAATTAAGGTAATGTGTCGTACTTTAAAATTATGGGAGAGAGTTATGAGCATAGGTTACGACGTGATACTAATGATTCTCAAAATCAATTTGGATTCATGCCAGGCAGGTCTACTATGGAAGCTATACATTTCTTGAGAGGTTTGATGGAGAAGTATAGAGAGTATAAGGAGGATCTACATATGATATTTATTGATTTAGAGAAAGATATGATAAAATTCCAAGAGAAGTGATATAGAGAGTTAAAGAAAATAAAGGGGTTAATAATGTTTATATTCACATCATTAAGGATATGTATGTAGGAGCTGTTACTTGTGTTCAAACACAAGTGGTTTGACCAAGTATTTTCCAATTTATGCTGAATTACATCAAAGATCAGCTCTAAGCTAATACCTTTTTGCTTTAGTCATGAATGTTCTCACTAGATATTTGCAAGAGGATATACCTTGGTGTATGCTTTTGCTGGTGATATTCTTCTTATTGATAAGAAGTGGGAGTTGAAGGTAAACTTGAATTATGGAGGTCAACCTTAGAGTTTAAAGATTTTCGTTTGAGTAGATCTAAAATCAAATATATGGAGTGTAATTTTAGTGGTTATAGATCTAGTAAGGGGATTATGACCTTAGGCGATCAAGTCATTAATAAGAGTACATGTTTTAGATATCTTGAGTCTATTGTTCAGAATGATATGGAAATAGATGGGGATATTATTAGTAAAATTCAAGTTGGATGGTTGAAGTGGAGGAGTGCATCGGGCGTGTTTCGTGATAGAAAAACCCCCCTCAAACTAAGAAAAAAAATCTATAAAATGGTAGTGAGACCTGTAATGCTTTATGGTGCAGAATGTTGGACATTAAAAGAGAAGCATAATATTAAGTTAAGTGTTCAAGAGATGAGGATGCTCAAGTAGATGAGTGCATTTACTCTTAAAGAAAGGATACGAAATGAGCATATACGTGAAAAGGTTGGAGTAACTTCTATGGAAGATAAGATTAGAGAGAGTCGCTTTAGATGGTTTGATCCATTATTTAAAATTGCACAATATGAGGCTCGGCTTTACGCAATTCCAGTAAAAAATGCCTCAAGGCTTATGGGTGAGGCGTTACGCCTCACTCCAGTGAGGCGAGGCGCGCCTCAAGGCGATCCTTAACCAAGTTGAGGCGCAAGCCTCATAAAAAAAACTCAATGCATAAGCCTCGAGGCATTTTTCATTGGAATTGCGTAAATATATATATATAATTAAAACATACATAAATCCTGAAGTAAAGCCCCAAACAAATCACACTTTGTGCACTCCCAAGTCATAACAACTTCCTCTGAAATGCCTCAACTCCAGCTCATCGCCTTCGCCATAGCCACCCCCAAGTCATAACAACTTCCTCTGAAATGCCTCAACTTTCTAGTTGTTGCCAACTTTTCAGTCTTTTTTAGAAATTAAATGTAGATGAGTAGGGAACTGAGAAAAAAAAATTGAAGTTGAACTTAATATTATATGATACTTTTATGCAGTTTCTATATTTAATAATTTATTGCTCATAAAATATTTGTATTTCAATTCTATTTTATGCAATTTATCACTAGCAACTTTACGTCTTGTGCATTTTTTTTTCATATATCATTGTGTTACTTCATATAATTCAATAGAAAGATAATATATTATTTTTTAACATATTATTTGGGTATTATATAAAAATTTACTTTTAACATTTATTTGCACTAAACGCAATTTTTATTTTGAGGCTCACGCCTCAAAACGCCTTGAGGCTTATGTCTCGCCTCACGAACAAAAAACGCCTCAATACCTAATTATGCAAATTTAAACATTGGTTTGATCTCATAAAAAGGTTGCCTTCCGATGACCCCGTAAGGAAAGTAGATATATTGGATTTGGCTTATGTTAAGAAAGGTAGAGGTAGACCTATAAAGACTTGATTAGAAAATATTAGAAATGATCTTTCTTTATTAGATTTAAATGAGAATTTGACTCTTAACATGACACAATGAAAAAAAAAGGATTCATGTATAAAGGCTTGATGTTGTTGTTGTATGTTTTCTCCTCATGCCACAAATCAATTCTCAAGGTACGTAATCATATTTAAATTAAAATGAAATTTTATAAATAATATCCATTTGATATTTTATTGAAGCATCCTAGTCATAAATTTCCAAGTGATGCTAATGTTTTTCAAAATTTTCACCAAATTGAATGTGGTGCTTAATCAGACATTTGTGATTCTATATTTGATTTATCAGACACATGCATGCACTCATCCTCAATCACACATGCATACACATTTACTTTTATTTAATTATAATTAAAACAAAGTAATTACAATATGTTTCAAATTTTTATAGAATATGATGTAATTTACATTAAGTTGCCATTGAGATCCCAAAGCCCAAATGAGAAGGTGGGGTTGAAACTAGGTTAGACATAAATTGGATATTATTCAGT